GGGGGGAGGACCCTGCAACATGCCACACACAGGGTGGGTGTGGGAGGTTATACAATCCGTGCATGCATGTAGAAAGCTTATGTAACCTGTGTGTGCCAAGGTTATGTAACATGTATGTGGAGAGGCTGGCAACATATGTGTGCAGTGGCTGAGGGTTGCTAATACCTTACTTGGGCCCAGCGTCCTCGTCCTGGCTCTGACTCCAGCCACAGTGTCACCAGGCACAAGTGGGGCCTAGGTTTGCTGCTCTGTTAAAGGGAGGCCATGGACTGGGTGGCTCTGGGAGTCCCATCCTTTTCTCATATTCTTGGGTCTAGGTTCTAGTGGTCCACTGTGGTTATTTATTTTACTTTTATTTTAATTTTTGGCTGGTGTTGGGTCTTCGTTGCTGTGCGTGGGCTTTCTCTAGTTGTGGCGAGCGGGGGCTACTGTTCGTCACGGTGCGTGGACTTCTCATTGCGGTGACTTCTCTTGTTGCAGAGCACGGGCTCTAGGCGCGCAGGCTTCAGTAGTTGTAGCATGCGGGCTCAGTAGTTGCGGCATGTGGGCTCAGTAGCTGTGGCAGGCACGCGGGCTTCCGTAGTTGTGGCTCGTGGGCTCTAGAGCGCAGGCTCAGTAGTTGTGGTGCACGGACTTAGTTGCTCCACGGCATATGGGATCTTCCCGGACCAGGGCTCGAATCTGTGTCCCCTGCGTTGGCAGGCAGACTCCTAACCACTGCACCACCAGGGAAGTCCCACTGTGGTTATTTAGTGTGTGTGCATGACCTGGAAATCAAGTCACATGTTCACTGGGGGGAGGGGCATGGTATTATTAGGTGCCCGTCTAGAGGGTTGTGTAACATGTGGGCATATCCTAGAGGTCATATAACACATTTGAGAAAGCCTTGAAAGTTGCATAGATATAGATAGTAGAGCCTGCTGCTTGTTTACCGTGCTTGGGTTTATACTGAGGGCAGCATAGTTGTTCGTGTGTGCTGGTCTTATGTTGCACATATTTGTGTGTGTTCTAAAGGTTAATAGCTTTAAGCATGTCCTGCAGATTCTTTCTGCATATGTGTCATGTACTGAAGGCTTAAATATGTGGCTATCTTATAGATTATGGGTGTGCTCGTGTGTGTGTGTGTGTGTGTGTGTGTGTGTGTGTGTGTGTGTGTGTGTATGTTGGGGCCCTAGAACATGCTTGTGCCCCAGCCAAGCCCTTTATCTCTCTCCCCAAAGCTTCCAGATAGCTGGACCCTTCTCAGTTTTGTCAGTTGACCTGGGGGTGGGAGGTAGGATGAGGACACAAGAAGGAGGGAGTCAGGCCTGGGGAATGACTTCAGCCTATTGGATGAGAAGGGGGGTGCCCAAGGACTATCTCTGATTCGGCCCACTTTGCCCCCATCCAGTGCCAGGTCACCAGATGGAAAGCGAAAAAGAAAGAACGGCCAATGTTCCCTGAAAACCAGCATGTCAGGTGAGCCTGGCTGCGTGTGCCCTTCCTTCCCACCCTCAACCCGACATAACCAGGCCAGGACAATTCCAGGGCCTGGGCCTATACCAGCAGTTCCTGTGTCCCATGGGGAGAGCCTCCTGGAGAGCGTGGGATGGACTTGTCTGGGGTGAGAGGGGTGATCTGGGGCACGCTCCAGCCTTTGAGGATGGATTAGGTCAGGAAGGGCCTCTTCCCTTCCCCCATAACCCCCTTGCCCGAGGTCCCCAAGATGAGCTGCTCTGACATTTGCTTCTCCTTCTCCCATATCCCCTGCCCTGGCATGCAGCAAGAGAAAAGCCCTGAATGGGGCAGTCAGAAGAACTGGATTCTCCATATTCTTAGGGAAGGGGATGGACAAGGTGACCTCTGATGTGTCTCCAGGATTATACATGGAGACAGAGAACCCTTCAGGGAGGTTGGGCTAGGGGATGGGCCAGGAAGGAAAAGCTGGGGGATGGAGAAAGTGTAGGAGCCTCTCTGCTGGGGACCCAAGCCATGCCTGCCTGCCTGCCTCCCTTCCTCCCTCCCAGGGTATATCCCTAGTTACCTGGACAAAGACGAGCAGTGTGTCGTGTGTGGGGACAAGGCAACCGGTTATCACTACCGCTGCATCACTTGTGAGGGCTGCAAGGTATGGACCAGCCAGCTCCTGCCCCTCCCCCACCACCTGAGCTCCCCCTCCCCCGCTGCCATCACATTCCCTTTAAGTCCCTCAGCACCTGGCACAACAGACAGCTCTATGCACATGTAAGCTAAAGCCCACCTGTTATATCCTCATTTCTCTTCTCTTATTCATTCATTCATTCATTTGTTCATTCATAATCCCTGCTCTGCCACTCATAGGTAAGATGCCTAATCTCTCTGAGCCTCAGTTTCTTCATCTATAAAATGGGGATAAACATACCACCTACTTCATAGAGTTGCTAGAAGAATAAAATGAGATAATGCACATAGAGTACTTAAAACGGTGCCAAGTACAAAAGAAGCACTCAATAAATGTCTCCTTTCATCCATCCATTCAATGTATTAAGTGTGAGATGTGCAGTATATGCGCTCACAGTTGCTCACAGCCTGCCAGAGAAAGACTGACATCAGTTAAAGAACATCAGTGTTTCTCAAAATGTAGTTCCTGGACCACCTGCAGTACTTGTTAAGTGCAGATCCCAAGGCCTCATCCCAACCCTACTCAATCAGAATGTTTTATGGTGGAATCTGCCTGGGATTGCTTCCACTGCAGCTGAAAGGGTGAGAACCAGTGCTGGGGGGCATGGCGGAGCCCAGAGAAGAGGATGGCAGAGTCTCCCTGGGCAGAGGGGGTCTGTGACTTGGAGAGGCTTAATTAGATCTCACTTTGGACATTTCAGCCTACATGGTTTTCCCAGGATCATCACTTTTTGACAGTGTAAGACCTTTCAAGAAACAGAAAGCTTTAAGAATGTGTCAAGGCTTTAAGTTCCTCTCTTTCCTGGTGTCAGTCAGACCAAGACCACCAGGGATGTAGAGTCCCCTAGCAGTGTTCCTGCAAGCAATGCCAGCAGTGTAATATAGAACAAGGAACCTCACCCTCAAGAACATCTGAGTCCCAGCGGGGCATCCTGAAAGGACAGAGATGCCTTCCCACTCCTAGAGAGCCTGATGTTATAGGTCTAGCGTGAGGCCCAAGAGTCCGTATTTTTTGATGGCTACCCAAGGTGATTTTAATTGCACCCCCAAAAAATCTGAGAGCTCAGACCTTGTATCTTATACCTCAGGTCCAGTTCTGAGTCTCTGCTGCCCATTTAGCCATATGACTTTGAGCAAAGTGCTTAATCTCTCCAAGCTGCAGTTTCTTAGTCGGCAAAATGGAGATAATAACAGTTCCTACCTCATGGGGTTGACATGAGCGTTAAATGTGATGATACAGGAAAGAAAGGGCTTATAAGTGCCCGACACGGAGTAAGTACGCAACAGACATTAGCTTTTCACATTATCACTGCCATCTTGAGTCTTGAGGTTTTTCCTTTAAAGCAAAGACTAAACTCTGTATATAAAATTGAAAATATTCTCTTCATGCTAGTAGAGTTCATACCCAATGCCTTTTCTTAACTTTTTGACCCCCCGCCCCCCCATTTCATGAATTCCACCTGCATGGGCAACAGGCAGCATGTATGAGAATGGTTTGGGGGCCAGTGTTGTTTTTAGAGTCGTTTAACAAGATGGAAAATCGGGTATTAATTGGTGTCCAAAGCGGCTATTCCTTCAGGCCTCTTAGCACTTCACACCATCCCAGGCTCAAATCTCCTAACTGCGGTCACCATCCTTAACTCTGCCACCACCCCTACTCGTGTACCCCGGCCCCTAGGCAGCTGGGGGGCTGAGGATGTGTATTTCTAAGTCCTGGCAGAGCCCAGTGATGCTGGGCTTGCTGTGTCGAGAGGATGCCAGGTTCCCTCACTAGGTCCCCAGCCCGCCCCCCATCCCCACCCCAGAGAACTGCACGGTTGATTCAGGAAGGGAGGGTTGTGATCACAACATGCTCCGTCTCCCTGCCCTCCCCCAACTCCAGGGCTTCTTTCGCCGCACAATCCAGAAGAACCTCCACCCCACCTACTCGTGCAAATATGACAGCTGTTGTGTCATTGACAAGATCACCCGCAATCAGTGCCAGCTGTGCCGCTTCAAGAAGTGCATCGCTGTGGGCATGGCCATGGACTGTAAGGGGATGGGTGGGGGCAGCGGGCCAGGCAGCTGTGAGGGGGGGGGGGGGCGTTCAGACACGGCAGCTCCCTTCCAGGTACCCACAGAGCAGAGGGACAGTCTGGGTCAGGCTGGTGGCAGGATGAATATTCAGAATGTTGGTCCCTGCTGCCCTCATCCCTGAAGAAAAGGAAACAGGATCCCTCTCTGGACTCTGGGCATGGGCCCCAGTGCCTGCCTGCCTTTCACCGCTCCAGGGCCTTAGAATTGTTGGCTAGAAGTAAGTCCTGAGTACCCCCCCCCGCCCCCAGAGCACAGTGTCTCTGACTACTAGAGAAGGCACCCCACTTCTGGGTGAGAGAGGGCATTTTTCATTAGCTAGGGATTGGATGGCACAGTCTTCTAGTAACTACTGTCACCATAACCCTTTAGATCAGAACACGGTCTTCCTCTGGGTCAGCCCAAATTGGAGTTGATGTGGTCTCAGTGATCATTCAGGATCCAGGTTGTGCCACCCGACTGCTAGGTGATTTGGGAAGTCACTTAGCCTCTCTTGGCCTACTGGGAAGCGTAGTTTCTGAGTGGGTTATGGAGTGTGCCATGCAAAGGGCATTGTATCTGTCTGTTGTTGACAGTGGTTCTAGATGATTCGAAGCGGGTGGCCAAACGCAAGCTGATTGAGCAGAACCGGGAGCGGCGGCGGAAGGAGGAGATGATCCGATCACTGCAGCAGCGACCAGAGCCCACTCCCGAAGAGTGGGACCTGATCCACGTTGCCACGGAGGCCCATCGCAGCACAAATGCCCAGGGCAGCCATTGGAAACAGAGGCGGAAATTCCTGGTAAGGAGAGAGGGAGCACGGGGGAGCGGCAGCCAGGTAGCCAGGAGTGGAGAGTGAACTCAGAATCTTGCCTCCTCTAGAAAGCCTTCTTAGTTTAGTCTGACCCAAGGCTGATAGTCTCCACAACTTGACAGTGCTGATTCGTACACCTGTGTATGTGTCGCTGCTATCAGGGTCCTGCCTTTTCCATCTGACTGGGAGCTCCATGAGGGCAGGGCCTTGCCCTCCTCATCGAATTTCCAGTGAACGGAGGTGAGCTCTCCTCTTTTTCCCGCCCACAGTGACTGGGAGGAAGGGTGAGGACACAGTCATGTAGCAGTATTTTGGGGTACCTCTTGGTTGCTGGGCATTGTTTTAGGCCCCGGCAAAACTGAGTGCCAAGTAAACGGTCAGCTTGGGAGGAGATGGTTAGTTGGTTGTGTATGGTGGGGAAGGCAGAAAACCCCTGGTGGAGTGTGTCCGCGTGTGGAACTGTACGCTCTTAGGAGCACTGACTCTGATACCAAGCACGTGTGTGTGTAACTTGTTGGGGATCAGACTGCCCATGTTCAAATCCTGGTTCTACCACTTACTAGCCACATGACCTTGGGCTTATTACTTAGCTGCAGTCTGTCTCAGTTTCCTCATCTGTGAAATGATGATAAGTATAACATCAACTAATGGTGATAAGTCTTGGTGAGGATTAAATGAGATAGTATGTGTAAAACACATGGCTTAATGCTTAGTTACATGTTAAGTATTCAGTAAATCTAGCTTCTATTGTTATGACATTACCTCTACTGCTACTATGATCCTTGTGATTATTAGCCAACTTGGAGCTCTGATGCTGGTGTATTCTCTGCCCCAAGATGGGAGAAGCCTTAGGCCTGGGTTGGGACACAGCTGTCCCCAGGTGCTAGTGGCCCCGCCTCCCCAAGCTGCCTTGGAGCTCCCCCTGGTGGGCAGGGAGCCTCGGTGAGAGGTTGAAAGGGGTCTGCAGCCCCAGCTGACCCCCATTTCTCCCTCTAGCCGGATGACATTGGCCAGTCACCCATCGTCTCCATGCCGGACGGAGACAAGGTGGACCTTGAGGCCTTCAGCGAGTTTACCAAGATCATCACCCCGGCCATCACCCGCGTGGTGGACTTTGCCAAAAAACTGCCCATGTTCTCTGAGGTGAGTGGCAGATGGGAGGAGAGACACGGTGCCACTCTGGAGGGAGACCTCGGGCTGCTCCCCAGGTCACCCAGTCCCAGCTCGTGCTCATCTGAAGCTCTCTGGATGGGGAGCAATTCCTGTAGGTCAACACACCCAACACACACACACACGCACACACGCACGCACACACACGCATGCACAGGGTGAGCTGATCCCTAAAGAACCAGCAGGCTCCACGGGCCCAGTCTCCCCAGCCCGTCCCTTCCTGTCTCCCCCGAAGTCTACGCAGCCATCCTGACTCTGGAAGTTCTCCTTACTTTAAAGAGCACTAACTCTGGGAACAGGCTGCCCTACTGGCTTGTGACCTTGGCCACGTGGCCTAACTCCCTATATCTCCCTTTGCTCATCTGCGGTGGGCATGGAGGTACTGGCGGGACCTAACTCAGAGGCACAGTTGGGAGGCTTAATGAGACAGGGCAGATCCATCGCACATTGCAAGGGAGCTGTTCAGAGCACACGTTCCTGGCCCGTGGTGGCCTTGCGGCTCCCAGGGGGCACCCGCGGGGGATGCTTATGGGGAGGGGCCTGCTGAGTGTCCCTGTGGTTCTGCAGCTGCCTTGCGAAGACCAGATCATCCTCCTGAAGGGGTGCTGCATGGAGATCATGTCCCTGCGGGCGGCTGTCCGCTATGACCCCGAGAGCGACACCCTGACACTGAGCGGGGAGATGGCTGTCAAGCGGGAGCAGCTCAAGAATGGCGGCCTGGGTGTCGTCTCCGATGCCATCTTTGAACTGGGCAAGTCACTCTCTGCCTTTAACTTGGATGACACGGAAGTGGCTCTGCTGCAGGCTGTGCTGCTAATGTCAACAGGTACCGAGGCCTGGCTGGGAGGGCTCGGGAGCTTTCAGGAGCCCAGAGTTTGGCTGGGCCCTGGGCCTGTCACGCTCCTTCTTTAACCCCGTGGTCTCTCTGCTCCACAAAGCTACCTCTCTGTCCCCAGGCCCACCCTTTGTCCCCGGTCCCCTGCTCTGTCACCCATCCCCCCTCCATTCTGATATCCAGGCCCATCTCTTACCTCCCAGTCCCTCCTCTACTCCTCTCCTGGCTTCATTGATTCTCTCTGCCCCCACCTGCTCTCTGTCTCCCCCAGACCCCTTTGTTCCCCATCCCCTACTCTGCTCCCATCCACCTTCTCTCCCCCATCCCTCCTCTGTCCTCAGTCCCCCTTTCTTGCCCCTAACTCCCTCTGTATTGCTCTCCCCACCCCATCTCTCTGTCCGCTAGTCCTGCCCTGTCTCCAGGTCTCCTCTCTTTCCAGGCCTACCTCTTGCCCTCTGTCCTCTTTACCTGCCCCTCCACCCCCTGGTCCCCTCCCTCTGCCCTGCGGTTGCCCCTACACTTGCCCAGAACGTGTTTTTCTTCCCTCTCCCCCAGCCTCTCCGCCTCTGCCCCCCTCCGCCCACTCACCCGCCTGCCCCTCCTTCCCCGCAGACCGCTCGGGCCTGCTGTGTGTGGACAAGATCGAGAAGAGTCAGGAGGCGTACCTGCTGGCGTTCGAGCATTACGTCAACCACCGCAAACACAACATTCCGCACTTCTGGCCCAAGCTGCTGATGAAGGTGACTGACCTCCGCATGATCGGGGCCTGCCACGCCAGCCGCTTCCTCCACATGAAAGTCGAGTGCCCCACCGAACTCTTCCCCCCACTCTTCCTCGAGGTCTTTGAGGATCAGGAAGTCTAAAGCCTCAGGCGGCCAGAGGGTGTGCGGAGCTGGTGGGGAGGAGCCTGGAGAGAAGGGGCAGAGCTGGGGGCTGAGGGAGACCCCCACACCTCTTCTCTCCTCCCTCTCGTCCTCGGATAGATTCAGCTCCCCACACACACACACACATACCCCGCGTTGCCCCGTCCCTCCTCAGAACCTCCAGCCCTGGGGCAGGGCAAACAAATGAACTTGCTATGAAAAGGACAGTGTGGGAGGCGGGGGCGGTCAGGGGGCGGGGAGGACCGTGTCCTGCAGTTCCCAGGACCCCGTCCTCCGAGAAGGTAGGAGAAGGGAGGGAGAGCTAAGAGGGGACAAGCCATCTTGACCGTAGGGGACGGAGGAATGTGGGATGGGGGAAGATGCCCTCAACTCACCCCCTACACACACGCAAGAGAGAGCCCCCCGCCCAGTCTCTTGGCCTAGGTTCCCCCTCCAGGCTAAGGGCCTCTCTGCTTCCCCAGATGCCTGGGTGCAAAGAAAGGCTTGGCTTGGCTCCTCCCCTGGAGGTTAAAAATTACAGTCATTCTAACTGCACTTTGGAAACCAGGCACGGAGAGAAGATAAATGAAGAAGTAATAGAGGAAAAAAAGAGAAAAAAGAGAGAGCGAGCGATTGATAGAGAGATGATATTAAGTTATTAACTGAGGCTGGCCAGAGGGGAGGACCCCCCCACCCCCAAGCACTTTGAGAGCTGCCCCTCCTCCCCCCAAATCAGAGAGAACTGCCCCCCGCACCAGGTCCCCAGGGGTAGGGCTGCCGATCAGAGCTGTGAGTTAATACAACAGGGTCCTGGCCACCCCCCCTTGCCTTGCCCCTCCCTCTGTGCCCCTTTGGCACCCCCACGCCAGTACTCCCTCTGCTCTCTGCCACTCGTGCCCGCTGAGTTCCATCTACCTCTCATGCTGGATGCCAACTGGCCCCTCACCAGCCTGCCCTGCTGCCCGCACAGCTCCCCTTTCAAGTGCCCAGCCCCAGGGGCCTCTCCCTGTGCCCCCCACCAACTCCTTCCGCATCGTGGCACCCACACAGGAAAAACTGTGGCTCAAGGTCCCGCCCTCCTCAACATCCTGCAGTATTAGCTACGATCCAGATGCTGCTGCCCTGGGGGCGGGGGGGTGGGGGTGGGGGGTGTGTGCTGTGAGCTTCTCCCAGAGCCTCCACCCCCTTAGGCCCCTGTTTCCATCTGTCTGCTGGGCTCTCTCTAACCCCTGCCCTCCTCCTTTCCACTCCTACTCGATGCACTATCCCAGACTCTGGGCAGGCAGGCACGGGAATGGGGGTGCTTAGATAAATGGCACTTAGTCGAAGCCCCGGGGGAGGGGGTGGTTGGTGCTCCTCCTTTTTTCTTTGAAGCTCTTTAGGCCAGCCACCCCTGTGCCCCTGGAACCCCTTTCCCCTCTTCTTTTCTCTAATTCAGGGACTTTGGCTTGAGCCACCTCCCACCCTCCTGGTGAGGAGTGCTCTGTTGGTCTGCACTTGGGTGAGCTGCCCTCCTCCTCCCTTTGGCTATCGCCCACTCCGCAGGGGAGAGAGGGAGGGAGGAGGTAGCCCTTTGAGGGTGGGGGAGGGGAGGGTGGGGGAGGGACGGAGCAGACCAGAGGGCCCTGGGCTCAGGGCTGCATGTCGGCAGGGATGGATGGGTGGACACAGATGCCCCCGGAAGCCATGGGGAATGGGGCAGGGGGCGGGGGGAGGGGTGCCAGGGCTTCCTGCGCTTTGCACTATTGGGGCAAAAATGTCTTAAGCAGTGGGGAACCTGCCACCCCACCCTGACCCTCAGCCTGCCACAGCCCCTTCACACACACACACACACACACACACACACACACACACACACACACACACAAGGGAGGAGTCCATTTGTAAAGAAACAGACTGCTATAAACAACAAATTAAAGTTTCCAAGGAGAAATAACAAGATCTGCAGTAGAGTCTGTCCCGGGGAGAAAGACTCATTGTTCCTTTATGAAAAGCACAAGGGGAGAAAGACAATGTGGCAAGGAGACAGTAAACACGAGCAGGTCCAAGAACAAGAGCACGTCCGAGAACGGGCAAGTCTCTCTTCATCTCTCTTAGGTTCAGGTTCCGTTTCTCTACACTTTTAAGATTAGGCAATACTTGCTCATGGTACAAAAACGGGCACACAGCAAGTCTCCTGCCACCCTGGAGCCCACACTCCTCGTCCCCGACTCAGAAGCCAGCACTGTGGTGAGTTTCTTCCCCAGCTCGTTTTCCCAAAGGGGCACTTCTGACCTGGGGATTGCGTGGAAGCCTGCGAAATGGTGGGGAAGAGCTCTGGGGGTAAAGGTGGAGGAAGGGGCGTCCGTGGTGGTGGCGGAGGCGGTGACGGCCAGGACTCCAGCCCAGCCGGCTGGTGCCTGGCCGAGATCCGATCCCACGGCGTGGACAGGACACCTGTGCTTGCCGCCTCCCAGCCGCTTGATCCTCAGGAAATAGCCGGTTCCCTGGCAGGAGGCGGGCCTGTGCCGTTTTCCTTTTAACGTTATTGTCTGCTAGGTTTTATTATGTTGTGGTTTATTCCCACAGCTTTCCGTTCAGCTGCAAATTAGAGTGCTTATGGATGAATGTTTGTTTATATATGTCATGTTGCTGTCCTTTCAGGTCCAAATACGTGCATCTGAGGCGGGAGGCTGTGTTTGTTTTTTAAACTAAGTGGAACTGCCAAACACCCTCTGCCTAGATCATGGAAAGTTGCCCTATTAGGAGTTTACAGAAGAAAAATCTGTGCCAGTTATAGCAGGTATTGAGAGAGGAGGAGGGAGGGAGAGACTGAGACAGAGACAGAAAACCTGAATAATCCTCTGGCAATTCTGAGTGTGACACAAGATTCTCTTCTTTCTTAGCAGTTCTGTGCCTCGTTCCTGATAATTTTAGGGTCTGCTATGTCTCTTGCTATGAGCATTAGCATCAGCAGCTTTCAAAATGACTTACCAGTTAACCCCTCCAGAAATCTTAAGACATTATTCTTTTCTTCTCCAAATTTCCCATCTCTAAGCCTTCTAATTCTCCTTCAAATTTCCATCTGTAAAGTTAATACAATCCAATAAGAAAATAATGTGCTCTTGAGACATTGACATGCTCAGAGCCATTTTATCCTGCCCTAAAGCCTGGAAAGTTTGAATTTTCCTTAGGATAAAAAAGTAAGAAATAATAGAATAATTCACTGTACTGTAACAATTAAATCCAGCAATTTAACATTACGCATTGGTAAATATAATGCTCACGACGACCCAAAGTCTCCCATGTGCTGACAGACAAAAACAAAGTTATAAATCTAAACCTCCTATTCCGAACCACATTCCTAAATGTAAATAAGCAACCAAGCATGCTGCTACATATCTTTACAGAAGCAATTACAAACAAGCCTTATCAGTCACTAAGTCACCAACACACACAATGCTTATCTGCTATGCCCTCTACTGGATAGAGTACACAAGACAAGTCGCATTATTTCCAATTAATTTTTGGCATCATCCCTCTGCATCTGCTTTAAGAATGCAAGGCGTGAAATTTATAGTAGCAGGTTTAATATTCCATCCAGCCAAAATTATTTTGCTACAAGGACTTTCCTTTGGTGGAATATTTTGGGTTGGCCTTTTTTTTTTTTTTTAATACACAGATTGCTTCTCTCCTTCGTGCAACCCACTGTCCCAACTCTCAAGCTGTCACCAAACTCTGTACATGGCAGGAATAATTTCATGCTGAGTAAAATGTGTTTAATTTCACATCCTGTAAGAATAATTACTTAGCATAATGCCACTTAAAATGTATTTCTATCTGCAAATGCTAATGAAGCTGCAAAAACCTGAATCATCTCTGGAAAGAATTAGGGAATTAAGGGTGCTTTGCCTTCACTCCCTCTCCTCCTGGAGGACTGCCTGAAGAGAGAAACCCAGACCACAGGAATAATCCAAGGCGAGATCCTGCTGTCTTCAAACTGGGTGTGAGTCCAGTGGCTTTTCGGGGAAGTTAATCCCACAGACCTCTCCTGAGCTTCCCCCAAGATGCTGCAACAGAGCCTCGGGCTCCCTGGAGATGCCCAATCCTCACCCAGGTCCCACTGGACAGCCACTAGGAGGGGACTCAGGCCCAGGGCCAGTGAGGACCACCTACCCGAATGGCAGGGCTGTGGCCTTTGGCCTTAAGGATCTTGTCTCTTTGATCGTTGGTGCGCCCAGGTAGTAAAGACCACTGTGCTAGCTATTGCTCATCTTGAGGCTTAAAGCTTTCAATAAAGAACGACAAGGACTAAGAGAGAAAAGAAGTGCTTTGCCTTAAAAAAAATTCTTTAAACCGCTTTATTTTGAAATCATCTTAGAATAATAGAAAAGTTGCAAAAATAACTCAGCGAGTTCCTGTATACCCTTCCCCCGATTTCACCTAATTTAATAGCTTACGTGACTACAGTACAATGATCAAAACCAAGAAACTGACATTAGTGCAACATTATTAACTATTAACTACACGGCAGACTTGGATTCGGTTTCACTAGTGTTTCCACTAATATTTCTTCCGTTCTAGAATCTAATCCGGGATCCCTTATTGCATTTAGTTGTCACAACTCCTCAGTCCCCTTCAATCTGTGTCACACTCTTTGTCTTTCCTTGTCGTTGTTCACAACTTTGACACTTTTGAAGAGTACTGGTCAGGTATTTTGCAGAGTGTCCCTTAATTTGGGTTTGGGTGCTATTTTCTTGTGACTACATTGAGGTTGTACATTTTTGGCAAGAATGTTACAGAAGTGCTGATTCCTTCTCATTGCTTTGTGGAAGAGGGGCCTGTCCTCTTCCAGCAACGGAGTGAATGTGCTGAGGGCCTGAGGGAGCCATTGCACCTCTTAGAACCCGGGTGGTGGGTCCCAGAGAGTCAGGCACTGAGCCCGAGAGTGCTCAGCATGCTTTTCTTACCTGTCTCTTCCCTTCTCCGTTACCATGGTGGCAATGGAGAAGTGAGAAGATTTCTTCTGTGTAGGCAGATGGCACTAGTATTTTCTTAATCCGATGCCGTTGAGATCCGCGGAAGGACAAGGTGTAGCCAAGGAAAGCAGAGTGTTATGGATGCTGGGGGTAGAAGAGGTGTGGGGAGAGGAGGACCAAGATGGAAGTGTGGGGAAAGGAACTGCTTTGTGATCCAGTGCAGCTGTTTGTGGGTTGGCTGCATGTCGGCAGGGATGGATGGGTGGACACAGATGCCCCCGGAAGCCATGGGGAATGGGGCAGGGGGCGGGGGGAGGGGTGCCAGGGCTTCCTGCGCTTTGCACTATTGGGGCAAAAATGTCTTAAGCAGTGGGGAACCTGCCACCCCACCCTGACCCTCAGCCTGCCACAGCCCCTTCACACACACACACACACACACACACACACACACACACACACACACACGGGAAGGCAATGCTATGCTGCCCATCAGGGCATGTCCTTCCCCCACTGTTCAGGTGTTCTGACAGGGCTGGAGGGCCTAGAAGAGCATCTGCTATCACCTGTGCATGTGCCTGCCCAGCCCCCCTTGGGCTCGTGGGCTGCCCGTGCTGTCCTTGTCCGTCTCTACCCTCTCTCTCTC